TGGTACTTCATCTATCTTAAAAAATATATATTTTTGCATTATATAATAGTAACAAAAAAAGGAATAAAATGTTTAAAAGCTTTTTACCACGTTCCTCCTAGTCTTCCCTATCATCATTTGATTTTTACTTATACAAACAAATCGAAAGTTAAAAATGGTGATGGAAATTAAATTATAGCTTTAAAATGTTGATTGCTGAAATGAAGTTGTTAGTTAGATTGTAAATTTTAAGTATTATGTCCTTAATTTAATTTCCCAAATAGTATTACAACATTGTATTTAAAAAGTACAATGCCTTAATAAGAGACAAACAAACGCATGAAAAAATGACATAACTACTATTATCAAAAAAGAAAAGATAAACACATTGGTACTATTGGCTAAAAAGATAAAGTATAATGCTATTATAGGTTAAAAGGATACGTATGTTGCCAATAACAGTTTTATGAGGAGAGAACAACAACAATTGTTGGCTCATTAATGATTCTTTCTACATCAAGCACATAAATTCATCGGCATCTTTAGCACCTTACCTTTCGTGCATCATTGGAAATAAAGGCAACCAACTGATTTATTTAAGTATAAATCCGGTTCAATAAAATGGTTTCATGCTTGTGGGGATCCTGTGAAGAGATGGAAGGAACCACATCAATCAATAAATAAACGTACGTCACTTTCTTATTAAATTAAATTGAGGGTCAAGTTGACCCTTATGAAACATAATCACATTCCACTCTCAAGGATCAAAAAAGCAATTACATAAGTTCCATTATCATAATTGAGGAGAAACCTACAAGAAATGAACTTTATATGCAAAGGAGAATGTAGCATACATAGATACCAGACACATTATTACACATGACAAAATAATATTTTATGAAGTAGGACCATTTTCCCATTGAATTTAATGACAAGCGGGTCAAAATTGAAGCAATTAAACCTAATTAAGGAAAAAACTTACATTTACACATTTTGGAAAAAAAAGTTGTACATCATTAAAATCACCTTAGCACCCCACCAACAGAACTTAAGCCTTCAAAAGTACAACAGTTGCCATGTCATAAGTAGAGTTATCAACTGCAGTTTTGATCAAACTTGGTCTAGACTATTCGAGTGTGTCATCATCCACTTCCATTAACAGTAACAGCTGGTTGTGAAAGAATAATACATAAGAGAAAATGTTTGTTAAATAAAGGGTAATCTTATTAATAATTCATTTGAAATACCTTTATAGCTTGAAATAACCTTGTGATATTCTCTAAGTTAAAATTTTCTGCAAAACTCATCTATAATAAGTATGTTCTGTGATAATCCTTCAGGATCAGGTTCTAGATTCTGTGATTCGAATTCAAGATGATGGTAAAAATACTCCACAAATAAGTACAAATACATGGTGAAAGCATTTACTATAAAGGAGAACTTTTTAAGATATTAGAGAGATTGAGGATAGTAAACACGACGTTGATTGCGATTTTACCTTTTTATAGAAAGCGAGATGAAGAAGGAGCGTTGTTCCCTCGATTCCTGAAATAAATTTTGTTCATCAAAATTGAAACACGAACACAAAAATAGAAATCAAAACATAACATAAATAATTTAAGCTGTAATGCGGAGAAACAAAGAATTCCAATGGAAAGTAGAAAGAACTGGCCTGATATTTCCATATATAGCAGATGGAGAGGTTGAAGAAGGAGGCGTGAGGGGATAATATGAATCTGAAAAAACCGCAGGGAACTGCTGTTACTGGGGAAGTTCAACAACAGCTGAAGGGTGAGTGGAGTTCTGGTTGAAAGTCAGCGATGCGTGAAGGAGTAAATGAGGAACGCATGGGTTCAGCAGTTAATCGCCGGTTCAAGTGACTGAGAGATGAGAACTGCCATAAAACTCTTGGAAGACAACCGCCGTGTACGTGGGGGAGAAGAAGGAGGAATCGGGGACGACCTAATGCGATTAACTGTAAATAGAGAGTTTTTATTAGAAGAGTGTTAAAAAGCCAAGATCTTTTAGGCGGTTACCCGGCCACAACAATAATATAAAAATTAAAAATAAAAATAAAAAAGAACGACTTCTAAAAAAAATTTATGATTTAAGTTAATTGTCTTATATTTTAAGTTTTTATTATTATTAGAAGTAACATTTGTGAATTCTTTAAAAAAGTGTTAATTGTTCAACCAAGTCATGTAAAATCATAAATGGTTAACGGTGGCCAAAAACCGCACTAAATAACGACACCAAATAAATGCGGTTAATAATCAAACCACAAAGAAAAGAAAAAACCCGCATTGGAAAATAATTGCACCAATCGATTTTAAAAATGGATTAACCCCTTATAGACCAGCTTCGTGAATGAGGCCTACTAACGGTAAGACTGACTTTTACTCATACATATATATAATGTTAGACTTTTAATGTTATATATAGTATAGGGTGCATTTTACACTTTTAACATACTAGGTGGTTAAATTTAACAATTATACTTTAAATTCAATTAAATTGTAAACTTAAACTTTTATGGATTTATTAAACCTCTTGTAATTATACTCCTTAATTAATTAATAAAACCATAAGGGTGTGATTGGAACTTTTCAAAACATTACTAGGGTTTTAGAATTTAACATTCCTAAATTAAACTTTTAATCAACTTTTAAATTCCAAAAGTTGAGGGCTAGTTTTGAAACATTTCAAAACATTTGGGTTTAGAATTTGAATATACATCACAATTAAACTATTAATGAAAATTTAAATTCCGAAACTTGAGGGCAAGTTTTGAAACCTTTTTCAAAACATTAGGGTTTTAACTATTTAAATTTCAAAACAACAAAACTTTTGGGTTCAAATTTAAACTATAAAACCTAAAGGGGAAAATATGAAACTTTTCATAACAACAAGGATCAAATAACAAATAATCTAAAATTAACAATTAATCACATAATTATCTATATTTGATTTATTTAATGATTTCTTGCAAAACAATTTACCAATTTAATCAAAATAATTAATCAATTATCACATAAGGAAACAAATATTTTATTAATTGATAAATATCTTCAATTAGATCAAGAATATAGTCAAATATATCATGAAATCGGATTTATATTTATCTAATATGATAAGGCAATTATCCTTAAGCAAAAACAACAAGAAATCCAGGTTTTCCCTCCTTCTGACGAGCCGACTCGCCGAGTCAGGCATGGACTCGTCGAGTCACCATGGACTCGGCGAGTTCATCTATGGACTCGGTGAGTTCATCTATGGACTCGGCGAGTCCAGCCTCCAGAAATACTAAAATCAAAATTTTCAGTTACATCAAGCATCAATACAATAGAAACCAATCAAGGCTCTGATACCACTGATGGGTTTTGGTCATAAGAACATCCTATGTGCTTATACAAACCCTAATCCTTGGATCTAGGTTTCTCTATTGTACATGCAAGTTTTCCAAGACTATAAACCCTAATTCTAACATACAATTAATCATATTAACATAAGAATGGGTTTAAGACATTACCTTGATTGTTCTGTAGCAATAACAATCCCATTCCTCCTTGTATTGACTTTAGAAAGCTTAGAGTCACAATTGTCACTCCTCTAATGGTTCACAAACACCATAAGCAAGAGGATGAAGAGGAGAGAGGATGGAGGGTACCCAAAAAACGTGTGAAACCCTAGAAGGATGCTTAGTCACGTTTTTGGGTCATAAGGGGTCTATATATACAAAGGCTATTAGGGTTATATAACAAGGAAACCCTAATTTGGATGCTTAAGCCCTAAGCAACCCATGGAGCCCTTTCCTCAAGGCCTTGGACGATTTCATATGAGCTTTCCCCATAGAATTCTTCCACCTTATAATATAAGGCAATCCATGGCCCCCAAATTGCAATTATCTTATAATTACAATTCCAGTCCCTTAAGTTTAATTAATCTCTTTTAGTCACAAAAATAATTACCAATTAATTATTGACTAATATTAATTAAACAATATGATTTCTCCTTTAATATATTATTCCCATAATATATTAATAAATCATATTTAATCCTTTCTCTCCATAATTCATCCTATCAAGTTACTTTGGTGAAGGCAACCCAAAAGGACCATGCACCATCGGGTCAAGTACATACCAAAATAGTTATGGACTTAGACACTAATCCAACATTTTCAACAACTAATATACCATGTACCGTAATATCAATTGTCTCATAACACCAATTCTTGTTAGAAACACCCTTGTTCAAGCCTGTTAGATCATTCAGCCTTTGACTCAGAATGTTGTTTATTTTCCTTTGTCTTTCAATATTTGTTGCTTGTAATCTTTTATTCTCCTCAACAATTTGTTCAACTTGAATGCTTTTCCCTTTGTCATTAGGATCCACATTTGAGGTTGATTTAACAATGGAAGAACATGAAACTCTAGCTTCTTCATCAATCAAAATCTTTATATTTTGAACTTTTGACTAATCAACATTCCATTAAGAAAGATTCCCTATTGTAGTCGTTGTTTTTGATGATGTGATAACTGGCTTCATTGGAATTGTTGTTGGAATTTTCATAGACGTAACATTCCCCACAACTGCCCCTGTATCTTCACCAGATCACGTAGAAGAACCAACACTAACACCTCTATCTCCCCTTGTGAGAGGTGCATCGGATGTGGAGCATTTGTTGGTAGTCAAAGTAACAAATTTAGGATTGGAGACAAATCTGCCTTGATACTTAACTCGATGTTCGAAAGCATAGTAGAAATGGAAGATTTAGCCCAAATATCAACTTTTGATAATGTTACTTTAAAATCAGATAAAAAAATCCTGAGCTTTCTCAAACACTTTGTCATCCTTCTCATATGGACTTTGATATCTTTCGAATAGTCTTTGTTGAAGGAAGTAATATCTTCTATCAAGCGATTTGTTGCATTTTCTATGACACCAATCTTTTGATGCAAGAAGTTGTAGTTATCATCTAACTTATTAACCTCTTTAGCCATCAATGTTTAAAGCACATTAACCTAGAGCTCAAGAGAAGCTTTCATATCAGACACTTGTTTCATAAAGAGTTCATGATGCTCTTTCGCAACATGAAAAAGTTTAGAAATTTCATGATCGAAATTTATAGATTGAGTTGCCATCCTCTCTTCATGTCTCTTATCAACATTTTCAATGAAGATTTTTGGTCGAGATTCTTGGGACTTTAGTAGATATTTAACTTCAACAATACTAACTGAGTTCATGCAACCAATATCAACCAAAAATTGAAGAATATAATTCATTTTAGAGTTAAGAATCTTCAATTGTTTACCCGACATGAGTAACTCATCAAGTATATTTTCTTCTTCAAGGTTGAACTGCAACTCAGCAAACAAAACCATAATATCATCATCATCCACTTTAGATTCATGAATGGTCTTCTCAAGTTGAGTCGATTGAGATGAGAAAAGAGTAGCAATAGGTTCTTATATTATGCCAACAAATGTAGGAGAGAATTTTGTAGTAGATGAAGCTGGAGTAATTTATGTAGGTGGTGCAGAAGTTGGTCGTCGTGGTGAAACAATAGTTGTTTCGAATGTTGTTGTTTCATTTGTTATTGTTTCGATAGTGTGAATTCCTTCACCCATATTAATATTTTTCTCATTATCAGATAATTTCACAGTAATGTCTAGACTTCCGACCTCCTCCATAATGAACTCAGTATTCGAAACCCCAGGTGATATAACTTTTGTCTGTTCAAGGATTGTTGTGCTTTGTGGTGCACTAGAATTGATGTTTACATATGTGTTAGATAAGTTTGCATTAACACCAAGAATACTTGTCTCCTCGGTAGTCGATTTGACATGGGTATCCTTTCATGATGTCATATGAAATGAAACTCCCATTTCTACATCTGTTCCATCACTATCATGTTCAGATTCTACAACAACATCGTCCATTTTATCCTTAATAGGAGTTGGATTTTGCTTCATTAATTTTTGCACTACATCTAACACATTCTTCATTCTTGATGCATGAGAACTAGCAGAAGAAAGCTCTCTAATCACAACTTCTCTCCGTGTAAACTTTAGCTTCTTAACCCACTTTTAGACACCCTTTTTCGTAGCAGGTTCGCCTTCTTATGTAAGTGTTTCTACAATAGGAGCAAGAATCATCGTAGGAACTTTCTCAGCTATTGGTTCAACGGTTTCAACTACAAGCTCTTTTGTGGGTTTCGTGGTTTCAGATTTAGATAGTTTCTTAGTAGGTTTCTTTATTCTTTTGAGTACCTATTTTCTAGTCTTTATGATTACAATCTCTTTAACCACTTCTTCTACTACTTCTATTAACTTCTCTTCTTGTTTCTTTTTCTTTAGACCCTTAGATGCTTTTGATGAACCTTCAACACCTTTAGGTGTAGCCTTTGGTGGAAGAATACCAATTTGAGTGGAATCTATTGAACCTTGATAATGAATCAACAATTGATGCATAAGATTGACTAACTTGTGCATCAAATCAAAAATTCGAGTAACCATTGGGAATATCGTAGCATCATCCACCACAACTTAGCACTCGAAAATCCAGTTTCCAGTTTGGAATGAGAAATTGAATTCCCAAATTCTTCCCACAACAAGGATGCATAAACAACTTCGAGTACATAATCTTCATCCTATTAACCACCTTAGAATAATACCAAAGAAAAAACTCTAAACACATAGCAAACTTGACTTCTTGAAGCGACTGATAATTGATAAAGTAGGTTGATGACCCATCTCATTAAACATATGGATGACTTGTTTAATGGTAACATCATAAAACGTACCTATAGATGGTAACTTCAGAATTTGGACAAATTGTTTCTTGGTAAGTTTCTTCATCTTATTGGACATCAATTGAAATGTACCAACTTTTATGGTTTTGTTGTAAACAACAGTAGAAGCAGCTAAATATAACCATTGCATTGGAATTGCAAAATGAAGATGATAAAGCCTAATTAAGAACAAGCTTGTTCAAAACCAATACTATCATTCGTAGTTCTTCAAGATAAACATCAAGCAAGGGATTAAGCCATAGATTGGTGCGTTAAAACTTCATCATAGGTTGTGAAACCTCTTTGTCATTGGTATTGAATTGATCAACGATGTTTTGCTCAACAACCATTTAAGTAGACCGAGAGAATTTTTGTGAGAAAATATACGATGAACAGTTAGGGTTCTTGAGGAAATTTCGGGAGCATAGAATTAGAATTAGAATGAGAATTTTCCTAAAATAATTGGCGTGCAATTTTTATTTAAACTGTTGTCCAGTGATACATCGACAAATGGAATATTGGTTACTTAACCGTCACCATAAAAGAACTGCCACATACAAAAGGGATGATCACCTTTTTCCTTGAGCCTCGTGAAAATATTGAACCGTCCCATCCCACAAATATTTTGCATCTCCCAATAAAAAATGAACCTACATTTCGTTCGATACAACTATAGAACCATCCTTAGTTGTGGAAGTTGGGCTCATTCACTTGTGGGAATGATAAGAGAAATTATTTTCCAGACTTTGAAAAATCTAAGCTTCGAGTAGGTAATACTTAAAACCTTAATGATTTCAGTGCATAAGTGTCTGAAAGAAAAAGAATGAATAATTTTTTTGACATTGTGATATCAAAGAATCTTTGATATAAAAGTAGTAGATCCCAGGCAAAGATCCAATTCATTCGACATCAAGAGAGATGACGAACTTCTTGTGTTGCTTCTCGTGAATTACAATCGAAACTCATTGAGGAGTATCGAATGACCTCTTTTGCATAAGGTTCATGGGTGGTTTAATTTTCACACAAATTTACAACTTGACATAAGTGTAAAGATTTATGCAAAAATACTTGGATGACCAATGTAGTCAAGAACAAGTAAGCTTTGAAAATTTTGAAGTAATGAAAGTTTGAGAAAGATGTTCAAACTGAAATCTCATTTCATGAAAATTAAAAATTGGATCTATTGGGTAGAAGCAACTTGGAATTAGTACATTTTATTATGATCATACAATGGAAATGAAAATGAGATTTTGAACATAAAAGTGGTACATTGAAACAAAAGTTTCATGATAATCTTGACCATAAAATGTTCACCGTCAATTCATTAAGTTGAGATTTGTTAGGTTTCACCTTCATTATGGAAGAATGATTTAGGATCATTAACATAGATTTGTGACATACCTATATCCTGATTAGTTTTGACCTGAGATGACTTGGGCATGTGTCATTGTAAGTGACCATGTTAGAAATTCTTTGTGAAAAAGATTGGATACGAAGACTCATTGTTCCACTGCAAAAAATTAACTTAACATAAATCACTTTACTCAACATGAGATGAGAACGGTAGCGCTTCGACTATTGTGAATACAGCCTAATTGGAAAGAAACTTTCGTGTGAAAATTTTCATTAAGGCTTCAAACACAAAGAGTCAACAAGTGTAACGTCTGGTTCCTGGTATGTATTTTAATACAAATTATTCATTTTTGCAAAGGGACTCGACGAGTTGGAGGCCCCAAACTCGTTGAGTAGGAATGGGATTTTTGGAAGCGGGACATGAAGTCTACTCAACGAATGAGAAGGCTCATGCATGTTGACAAGTAGGGTTGCCAAAGGGAAACCCTAATTTTCAGGGTTTGCACCCTATGTAAGGACCTTAACACTCCATTGTGGCCTCCCTCGTCGCCTCTCTCAGTCCAACAAAACCCTAATTCGTGATCTTGAGCCTTTTGAGTGTGTGTGAGTGAAAAGATAGTGATTCTTTGGTATTTCCTTGATGTAGTGGAAGCTAGAAGTGCTTGGTTAAAGGAAGAAGCCTTGGATCCAGAGATTTCATGGTCAAAGCAGCCTTATTGAGGTGTAAATTCTATACCTTGTCTATTTATTTACTAGATCTCTTCCTGGAGTGGTGTAGGTATTTAAGGAGCCTATTTTGGGACCATTCATGGATACAATCATGTTTTGGAGTCATTACTTCACATCCAGAGCCTTTGAGGGACTCTATGGTATAAAGGTGCAAACTTTATGGCCATAGGAGTCCCATGCAACTTGTGAACCACTTTTTAGGGATTTTTGACCTAAAATAACCCATGCATGGACGTAATGTTAGAAACTTTATGTGATATATCGACCCTATTGAACCAGATCTATGACTTGGATGCATTAAGCCTGACTAGAAATGACTGTATGGATTTAGACTATAGGGGACTCAATGAGTTGTGCACACAACTCGGAAAGTTGGGTTGTGGTCTCCCAACCTTTTCTATTACTGAGTAAACTCATTGAGTCTAGGATATGACTCAGTGAGTTGAACATGTTTTGGGATTGAAGATTGAAGAACTCGACAAGTTCAAGGAGGAACTCGGTGAGTTGTGAGAAAAACTTTCCCCACTCTGTATGAAGGAGAACTCGATGAGTTGTAAGTAAAAGCTCTCAACTATGTTATAAGGAAGAACTCAACGGGTAGGATCGAGGTTTCCAGAATTTTATGAATCATGGAACTCGTCAAGTTCATGAAGAACTTAACGAGTAGGATCTAGAATTCAGGGTTTTATTGATTATGGAACTCGACGAGTTGATGGACCAACTTGGTGAGTTGAGTCAACCAGGATGTTGACTTTGACCAAGTTGTTGACTGTGACTTTGAACATTGACTAGAGTTAACCATTAAAGGGGTTATGAATATGAAAGGGTAATTAAAGGAGATTATTATGTGTAGGATTTTGAGAGGAGTTGATCCCAGCATCGAAGACAGTTAAGCTATTACACGACATTGAGTTGAGTTACCTTCCAATAGAAGTGGGTCGAAGGCACCAATGTCGGCTCACTAGTAGTTGATTATAGTTAAGATAATTGTTTGTGTGATAATTATCTGGTATACCACTATCTGTTATGAGTTATATGCTAGTATTGTATGTTATTATGTGATAGTACTAGGAGGGTAAGGATAGACCCCAATATCGGTTATATGGACCGATAGAGTAGGTTGGGCACCCAGATATGCATGACAGTATTGTTAGGTTATGAGCATTCTAACACTCCTAAGTGTACATGCAACCCTAAATACCTTGGATCTATGTTTTCTCTATTATACATGCAAATATGAACATCCAAGGTATTATCCTAATCTAGCATACAAAATAATGGATATAACAAGATAGAATACATACCTCTTTGATAGTGCTTGTCTTCATGAAGCTTGAGTGCTTAGTGCCCCAAGTGTGACACCTCAAATGGTTCACACAACACCATAAGCACTTGGAATAACTTAGAGAGAAATTAGAACACTTCATGAAATCGTGTAGCCCTTATACATACACATAGTGTTAGTGTATCGATTTCTTGAGCCATGGGTTTCTTTTATATGGTGGCTATTAGGGTTACACCATGTAACTCATGACTTTACCCATTCCTTATGCTCCATGGATTTTAACCTCCATGGAGTATCCATGGGTCACCCCATGGACTTAGTCCAACATAAGGAATCTTGGATCACAAGCCCACATATATAAGAATGAATGATTTACACAATCAACCCATATATTTAATTAGTCTTCTTTTGATCACTTAATTAATTCTAGATTAATTCTTGATCAATACTAATTAAATAATCTCATTATTCTTATTATTAATATACTAGAACTTATAATATATTAATAACCGTAAGTGTCTTATTTCTCTCATTATAGTCTATCCAAGTGCATGATGCCATGCAACCCAAATGGACCATGCCGGGTCGGGTCAAGTCTTACCAATTATAGTTATGGACTTAGACATTAATCCAACAGTCTCCCACTTGGATAAGTCTAAAACTATTATTGCGTATGACTTCAGGAACCAACTAGCAATCGTAGCTCTCAAAAGCTTCTGTCGAACTCTGACCTTGTAGATGAACTCTGATCTTTGTCAACGACTTGTCCATTAGATAAGGGATCATATATTCCTCCATTCTAGATATCATATGGACTGAGACATGGATTATAATCATTCTCTCTGTCCATTAGTTGTTTCCCGATTTCCGATTTATGACGACTGACTAATTGAACAAATCAAATCAGTCCTGGCCCGGCCGAGCACTTCCATTTGTCATCATCAAATCATCGAGGGGCCCACAAATATCGCTTTTATCCCGAAGGTAAAAGGAATGGATAAACTTCGACTCATATGGCTTGTTCTACTACTTGTTGAATCATACACAAAGACACGTTTTATAACATCGAGTTACCAATGCGTTTCGTGTAATCAATGTACTATCAACTCATAGTAACAACTCATATCTCTAGGTTTGAAGAATATAAGATATTATCGTCTCATGATCACTCGTGATAAAATCCATGAAGTGATTCCAATGGCGCGGGTTGAATCCAATACTCAGAACTTATGAGCACTCATGAGTGTTGTAGCCCTTTGTCCAACAACTTAGACCTCTACAAGCCAACCCATGACAGTCTTAATTCATATCTACTTCCAACATATGACCGACTATGGATGGTTTGAATAACTTAGTCA